CCCCCCCCCCCCCCCCGCCTTTGAGATGACGTACGGCTTTCTGGTATAACTAGTATCCTGCAAGGAAAAAACTATGTGGTTTATTGGTGTTGGACTACAATATGTGACCAGAGTGATTACTTTGGCTTTGATTTTACAACATTCAATTGAAAACCGTTCTAGCAAACTTGCGCCACCATGTGATCAAATCAAAAGTAAATCCAAAACCAATCGTGACTCGCTCGTACATGTTTTCCCGCGCTTTGCGCTAGCTACATGTATATGCTTCAGGTCATGATGGGTTCACTGGACCATTGTCTGGGTCCTTTGTTATTGGCCAGTGTGATTACTTTGGTTGTGATTGTACAACACTCAACTGAAAAACCACTCAAAGAGTGCCTTTATAATGTTGTCAGAGAAAGGGTTTCGCCAAACTCACTATCTAACCAATTCACCATTTAAAGATACATTTTAAACTGAAAACAGTCATGTGACGGCCAAAATTGAACAGGAAGTTAGCTGCATCTCGCTCGCCTCTCTTGCCAACCCTATCCAAACATGTTCCTACCTGTTTAAGGTGTGAAAAGCAGGCAACAAAATTGTGTCTTTATCTGTGAACGTAGAATTGCAAATACGAGACATTACAGCGGAGCTCCGGCCGCCCTTGGGCCGCCAAGCGGAGCACCATACCCATATAGGAAAGAAAAGGAAACCCATGAATTGATTTTCTTATGGTTATCATGGCTGGCTTTATTGCTTGTGGGCGCGTGCGCACGACGGCGTCTAGCAAGATGGCCGCCATACTCCAGCTAATCGGTTGACAGAGACATGCAGCCTTGATTTAGTCTCCTTCTTTGATATTGGACATCCATGTTATGGTCAATTGACACCTGTCAAAAGAAGGTATCCACTGAGCAGTATCATGTGATCATACCGCGGGCTCAAGTTTAGAGCTCATCGAGGTCACGTGTTTTTTGAAGTTGACATCTGACCAAGTGCTGGTTTTCTACTGGATCGCGGGCTCATGTCAAGTTAACTTGTATATAAACAGGGCTAAGTTGTTCGGAAGCCGGTTGACGCTAACCCAGGATTAAAAGTTAACCGAAGTATGAATTTTTCTTGTATACAAATGTTTTTAACTGCTTTTGTTTTGTGTATTTTGAGATTATTCAAACTCAAAACAGAAGGCCAAACAATGTACAGAAACACTCACCGCAAAGTTACAAAACTCAAATCAAAATTCTTGATGTTATCTTAATCCGGCTTTGGACGACCCAGCCCAGGAGCTCCGCTTTTAGGCTTGGCTATATCTACATAATATTCCTGATATTCAATGTTCGTATTGCATGGCCATTTGTTAAAGTACACCCCAAACCGTTTCTTGTTCTCACCAAGAACAAAATAGTGAGCCACTAAACCGATGACAAATTAAATATACGTACCTTACAAAGAAGGAAACCATCCACATGGTGAACTAAACTGCTTGCTATATTCTTACAACAGTTCAGATTCATATAGCATTTATCGACGGTGAAGTCCCATAACTTCGCGTCCTGTTAAATGCGGAACTTCTCAAGAAAATGTTATGACGGCATGTCTTTTTTGCCTATCCGGATATTTTTGAATCCGCAACCTTTTCTTTCCGGACACGGTTCCCGTCCACACGCATCCGGCGAATTCGGCAGCGAATCCGGATATTTTTTAATCCGCTCTCCAGAGTGGAAAAAAATAAATCCGCAACGAATCCGATAACTCGTGGACGGTGAATCCGGATATTTTCGAATCCGATGACGAAGCAAAATCGTGTCCAGTCTCTTACCGAACAATAAATTAAACCAATATGGCGGCATAACGTGTAAGGCTAGTTTCTCTGGAGTGAATCCGGATACCATCGGATGCGTGTGGACAGGCGAATTCGATTTGAACAGGCTGCGCGTGGACGGGGAAATTTTTGAATCCGGAAAGAAAAAGTTGTGGATTCAAAAATATCCGGATACGTGTGGAAGGGGCCTTAGTTCATAACTCGCTTGAAAAATGTCCAATTCTTCATATGGCAAATGAAAGCACTTTCTCATATCGGCGACTCTCGCAGCAAAACGTGGCTTGGCGAAGGAACCGTTTCACACGTGCAAGAGTCTTGAATAAATCATTATTTTTGAACTTTTGAAACGCGTTTCCACCGGTCAAATGCGAATTTATCTGCCAAACATCTTTGCAAATGGTAAACACTGTTTTTTCTGAGCTTTATTAAAAGTCCTAGCCATCCAACATGATTCAACTTGCTCACATATTCTAAAAAAAGAGTTCAGTATTTTTTGGTAATAATTTTCTAAATTCTCATGTAAAATGGACAATTATTCATTCATTTATCTATTTATTTGTCTCGTTTCTTTTTTCAGAGAAGAGAAAGTATTTTTTGTTACTGCGCATGGGTTAATACCAGTCAGTTAATGGTTCTGTCTGATCCATTTTTGCAGTATAAATAAAGTCTTTACTTACTTTACTTTACTTCTACATTCTAGAGTTGTTGATATGGAAATTTATTATATGGAGAAGAGTGTTTTACTGGGAACTAAACCACTCGTAGATTCCATACGCCACTTCATCCGGGACCCGAGTGGCGTATNTTTGCTTTTGTTGAATTGGTTTCTCCATATAATAAAAAGAACATTACACGTTGGCTCGAAGATATGAATTTTATGTTCTCGTGGCAAGAACAATATCTCTCACGAGTGAGCTTCGCTCACTCGTGAGAAATGGTTCTTGCCACTCGAACATAAAATTCATATCTTCTCGCCACCGTGTAATATCCTTTATATATACTTTGTTTACCAGCCGTCCGGAAATAGATCGCAATAGACCAATTTCGATATATTAAAATTTAGCCTAAAACAATAGACCTCAGCACGAGGCTCCCGGAAATAAACCCTACAAACTCTGTATTTATTCCCCGGAGCCTCGTGCTGAGGTCTATTGTTTTAGGCTGAATTTTAATATATCAAAATTGGTCTATTTGTTTTCTCGTGTTAATTTATGCGGGAATACCGCCGCGGCATTTATAAGGGACCTGGGCATGAATAGGGTTGTTATTAACACCTGTCAAGCATTTTTACATTAGCCTGTAAACATATACGATACATACGGATCATTTTAGATTTCTCCATAGTGGTTAACAACTGAAGTAAAAAACATTTCTATTCGAAACAAAATGCTGTAGCCCAAAGCTTCTTCAGTTGTGTTTTGTTGCTGTGCACAACTGGAAAACGAGGAACGAAGGGGTATTTTTGGAACAATTTTATCAAGTAATTTACATTTGAAGTCGCCAACCAATTAAGAACCACAACGAAAACATTTACGGCCCCATACAAATTAACTGAGTACTGATATCAGTAATTTGCCGTTTGTAATGAATCTGTTTACGGAAAGAATCAAGGAAAAACGTAATAACCTGGCTAGAGAGTATGCAAAGAGGAAAATTCACCACAGGGAGTGTTGAGGTTGTCTTGGTTACAACTGTGTTGCCGGTATCCAAGGATGTTACTTTATTATCGAGGCTCGCGTGTTTTTAACTGGAGTGAAAACGTCAATGGATTGGAAAAGGCAAAGTTCTGGAAACTTGCAGCCATGTTTTTACACCTGTCTCACTGTAAAGGGAACAGAATCTCGAGAATCTGCAGTGCTACAATCGAAGCCAAACAAAAGTGTTTCTTCACAGATGTGGACTCCGAAGAAAAGTGTGGTGGTTAAACCTCCAGACCTAGAAATCAAGGGAAAATGTCTTGGAAACAAACTTGACAAGGATAATAAGGCGGTTGACATGAAACCCAAGTCGGTGGTGGACATTACAACAGAACAGAGCTTCAGTGTAGAAGATAAAGACATTCCCAGCCAGCGCGAAGATTTCAAAGAAGCTAACCAAGACGTTGAAAATGGCAACGGCGGAAAGATATTCTTAGCACTCCTGGAAGCATCGCTGAAGAAAAAATTGAATCCAGAGTACATTGACATTATTCCAAGCCGACTGAATCGTTCTATCGCTGTTAGATCGCCACAGTGCGATAAAAAATCGACAACATACCCTCGTTTGTCTCCTCTACAAGTAATCAAAGAAGAGAGATTACCCGTAGAGCTAAAATTTGGAGTTCGAAACCCCAAAAAGGTGAATTACAACGCAGCTTTCAAACGCCCAGACATTGCACGGCCGAAGACAGAGTTGAGTTACTATCGAGGAAAACTAGAGCCTCTTTTGCCAAGAAAAAATCCCTCCAAAAATTTACACGCCGAGTTGGAAAGAGAAGAGGCGGGTAACAAGACGGCAACTTGGTCTACATGATACCAGTCAATCACCTGTTCATTGAAATGGCTTTCCATTCTGGTCGAATTGTTTATTTCCTTAATTGGTTACATTGCAACTGTAGAAGATAGATCTTGGCGATACTTCGATGTTTTAACATTTAATTGAAATTAACACTTTAATTTCTTCCGTTTTTTCAAGGGAATTCGTAAATTTACCACACATTTCTCACTCATGTAAACAGTTTTATTACGTTATAAAAATATAACGGAATAACAAGGCCCCGTCTACACTTCGCCGAAGAAATTTGAAAACGGCGTTTTCACTCTGAAAATGCATCCAATGTTTTCCGTCCACACTACACCGGAGGAATTTGAAAACGCAACAATCCCCGGTCATTTTGGATTTGTCTTTGAGGGAAACTCGGGCAGGTAAATCAAATTTATCGTGACGTCACCGTTGAAAAGTTCCGTTTTCAAAATATGTTCCGGCCACACTAACACGCAAAGCCGGCGTTTTCAAATTCCTCCGTTTGAAGAGCGTTTTTGCAAAGCTCCATTTAAAAGACGGATTAGTGTAGAAATAAAGCTGCGTTTTCAAATTTCTCCCGCATCGTGTGGACGGGGCCTAAAAAATGCAATAAATTGAAAGGTATTCAACGCAAGCTATGGGAGTAATTTCACAGTAAATTAATTAATTAAGAGGAATCCTGGGAGAGCTGAACCTTGACATTTCAAGATTCAGTGAAAATGACATTTAGCGAAAGAAAACCTACCACACAACTTTATCCTTAAGTCTCTATTAAGTCGTTGAAGATTGACCTTTTACAAGTTCATACCGCTTTTGCTGGCTTAGATTCTTCTTATAAACAGTGCTTTAACAAAACTTTTCTTCGTGTATAAAGATTGCGCGTAAACCATGTCCTTGAATTACCTAACTAGTTAGTCTAGTTAATGTGCCTATACGATATTTATTATATACATTAAATGTCTCCTTATTTGACGACATTTTGTTACATAACCTTCATCAAGTAATAAAATTTCCAGCTTTATCTTTTTCTTAAATTTCCCAGCTTCATATTAGGTCATATAAACGATATCAGAAATTGCTGTACAATTTCTTGTGGACAAAATAATTTCTCTAAAACTAGACTTTTGGCTGATGATAAAGCATTCCTACAGTTTCAACTTGCTAAGCAAAATAGATTAACGACACACTAATTTCATCATTGCTATAAATTAGAGACGACTGCAATTGCTCATCACGCACTCTCTCATCTTTTGGTTCCATTTGCTTGTCATCCACTGACCGTTTGATAGAAAAAAAATATAAATGAAAAAAGTTTGAACACGACCCACTGATGACGATGCGATCAAAATGATATTAATCGCCTTGAAGAAAAAACGTTCAATAAAAAAAGTGTTTTGAGGATGAAAACATTAAGTCGTCCACAGTTTCATTCATAAAATGCTCTAAATCCCGGTCCTCGCTCATGGTTCAGATTATTCTCTTGGTGCTCTTAGCACTTTAGGAGAAAAGTTATCCTTTACAAGACTACTGACATTACGTTTAATCTTTCTTGTCAAATGCTTTAACAAGAACTCATTGTTTGCTGTTTGTACCGTATAACCTTAGACCGAATGTCAAATTTCGCCATAACAAATTACACGTTTGAAAACACCAAGAAGGACGGAAAAACTAGCCCTTGAATATTGAGAAAGGCAAGAGCCATTTTAATGTCCATGTCCTTGTCTTCTTTGGTTAGTTCATTCACTTACCATCAGGTACGGCAGGGAGGAGAGGGTAGGGAAGAAAGGGAAAGACTGGATTACAAGCGATAGTTAAATCTGTTTTCACTTGTGGTTTGTGATTGGAATCCGTAATGAGTATGTCCTCTGATTTCGTTCAGCAGATCTTCCTCTGCAGGCTCAACCAAATTAGAACCAAAGAGTTGATGAAAACGGCCACCGACGTGGGCGGTTGCTTCAGTCTGCAAGGTAAGTAAGTGCTTTTATTATAAGGCTAGCTCCGTGGTCTACGTGAGCGGGCAAGATAAACCGAATCCTGCGTTGTGATTAGCTACCCGAGTGGGCAAGATGGCGCTATCTTGACCGCTCGGGATTACCCGATGTGTCCCGCAAGAAAACAGTGTTCTTTTTCTATATAATAAATCCTTTATTGACCAAGCTGGTTCGGTCAAGATAGCTGGATATTGGCCTCGTCTCGGTCCATAAACACGCAAAAAAAGAACTTGGCCAATATCCAGCCATATTGACCTCACGCTTTGTCAGTGAGTCAGATGTATCACCTGATGTGACCGTGAATCTCTGGCAACTAGACGGCAGCGATTCATCCACTAAGTTGTTTAAAAGCAATACTTAAAGAGGGGAGAGAAGGGGTCGATATTCTCCAATTACGCCATCTGTCTCGCAATCCAGAACAATTTTCACAGGTTCGCAACTGATTGAACAACTTGAGAGGGTTTTATTGAAAAACAAAATCGTTTCCCAATTTTCTTTCGCAGTTCTTTTCTTGCCATAAAATAAAAATCTCGTTAACAGGTCTCGGTCTGTCTGCATGGAAAATTCTTGACCTCATTCATGGCCATACCTCATTCTGCACCATCTCCTCCTCTGTTAGGATTCTATAAAATGGACCTCGCAAACGGCTTATGATATACAGAGATATATATGTGTCTGGATTTATGATACAGAGTTAGAGAAATCGCGCCCTCCTCAAGCATTTTTTCTCCAAAGTAGACCATATGTCAGTCTATTTTTTTCCTCCACTCTCTTACCTTCCTTTTTGTTGCTCTTTTCTCAATTTCTTTCTTTTTTCAACCCTTGGAAAGATTTTTTTTTGGAGTGTTTTTTTTTTTTTT